AAATATATATATATATATAAATAAATAACTTTTATCGTACAGATATAAATAATTTTTTTTAAAACCATGATATAAATAAATAATGTACCAATATTTATGAATAAGTTACTGAAAATATATAAATTACATTTATATATGTTTATTCTTTCATAATTTATTTTACATGTTTAGTAATAAAATAAAGCTAGTATGATAGTATGTATATTAAATATTTACTATATATAATTAAAATTTATAATTAATCTTTATTTATTAAATATGAACTTTTGTATCTTAATATTTTTAGAAAAATCTTTTTAACGAGAAGATTTTTATAATTTTATAATTATTTATTTAATTCAATTTTTACTTATCGTAATTAGTAATAAGTTAAATTTTAATATATTTAAGAATATTTATTTATATAAATTTAAATTTGATTTATATATTCAAACATATTATTTATTTATATATATAATTATTATAAATTTTAGTTACATATAATAAATATTTAGGTTGTACATTATACATACTAAAATACTATTAAATTATACATACAAAAAAATATTATATTTAAATATAACTTATATTTAAAATGTAAATCTGCCTTCGTCTTCATCTTCGGTTTAATATTTTAGATTTTACGTCTACCCGTACCCGTACCCGTATCCGTATCTGGTCAAATCGAGTATTCTCCATCAAAGTTTGGATGGATTCAGGTATTACCTACAGGTACGGATTTATTTGCGATCCCTACATATGAGAATTATATTGATGTATTTAATAATAAATTAAGGTAAAAAGATAAAACATTAACATAAACAATTTAAACAAATATTTTACTTATTATTCAACAAACATCAACATTATGGATTACTTAAACTAGTTGATGAATTATTATTGTACATACTTTTACATAAACAAACAATAATTTTGTCTAGAGTCCATGGTCGACACAAACATCACAAAATATCTTCTACAATTCTATCAATTTTAGCATATAATTCAATATGGACATGCCTCATGAAATTATCTATATACAGTAAACATGTACTCTATATCATCATCTTTCAAGAGTTAAAGTAAACCGTAATCAATATTTTCTTGACAATAAATTAGATGTCGATAATGAAGTTATTTTATATTATCAATACTTTTTACACCAAAAACTTCTTTAAGTGCATATTTGGATTTCATTTTGAAACGTGGATCATACATTCTCTCTCCACGTCGAATGTTAATTTTACGTGGAAGCAAAATTTTTTCGCTTCAAGTAAACGTGAAAATTCATGTTACAATTGGAACGTAAACATGAACTAATTTGATTCTTTAAATTGTGTAATGTAATGTCTTCATCAATCCTAAATAACTTAGGAACATCACATTCATAAATAATTCTTCTAGGACAACCGGTAATTTTTTCTTTGTAAAAACTAATAAATAGTATAAAACTCATTTTTTTAGGAAGCAAACAAAAATAACTACTTCAACTTGAATCACCAAGCAAACAACATTCAACATGTGTGCAACGTGTATATATATATATATATATATATCTATATATATATATATATACATCGCAATCCAAACCACATGGAAACAACAAGGGTAAGCTAGTGAAAAGAAACGACATACAAATATATAAAATTTAAGAATAGTAAACAGCTACCGCTATTAGAACATCAATTAGCAATAACAACTGTAATCAACAGTTCACATCGATAAATAGTAGTAAACACACAATGCGTCGTCACGCATATCAGCTCGGAGATCTCCTACCACAGCTCAGCCTTACGGCCTACAACAGCTCCTATCAGCACGGAGCACAGCACCGACTTAGCGGCTATAACAGAACCACAATAGTGGCTAACAGCACCGACATAGCGGCTATAACAGTACCACAATAGTGGCTAAACACAGCATACAACTCAGCAATAAACAGCACAGTAAAACAACTCACAGCATAGCACATCACAACAAAATCAGCATACATCACAACTAAGTAGTATTCAACACAGCTTACTACTCACAACTCGACTCATCATTCTAGAGCACAGCCATATTATAAATCCGCATTTAAAATCATCAATAAAAGCCCAGCTCAGCATAGCGAGATACATCTATTACAACTTAACATCATTTTTCAGCATTTACATCTAGTCAGCACAACATATTTATCAATTACATCTCAACTCAGCAATTACAGCATAATTCAACAACTATCAGCATATAATTCAGCTGGACTCAAACAATAAAGTTTAGCATTAGCATCACATATCACAACTCAGCGTTACATCATTAACAACATACCGCACAACACAACTTTTCATCACACGGCATTGGCA